TTCCCAAGGAGTTAGCTCCAGATACTTCACTACTGTCGTGGTTGGTCATCTTCTGGCCATTCCTGTTGAAGCACTGAATGCAATCCTTGGTTTTCCATCTCAAGGAAGGGATATTGCTCATCCAAGTGAGTTCTGGAAGGAAGAGTAAATCTCTGTGATGAGTATCACAACTTCTCAACTGAGCCGACTGGAGGATCAGATGTTCCCATTCCTAGACTCAGGGTGTTTCATCACTTCCTGACTCATGTGTTCTTCCCCCGGTCCTTCAACCTGGATCGAGTCCTGCTAATGGACCTCTGGATTATTGCCAGTGCCACTGCCAGGCGCAAGCTTGATTTTTCAAGTCTGCTTTCAGTAATCTTCTTCCAGTAGGAGATGAAAATTATCAGGGTCTGCTCCCCTTTGGATCTATCATTACCCGATTGCTCATCAACCTTGGTGTTGATCTCTCGGATTTCAGAAGTGTGTCTTCCACAATGTACGTGAGTGCTCTAAACGTACTCATGGTACTCGATCTCCCCACAGATATCCCTCTTCCTCCTCAACCTTCAGCCTCTCTTCTCGGACCTCGTCCCAAACCATCCTCCTCCAAGAAAGCTAAGTCTGTCGGTGAAACCAGCAAGGCTGGAAATTTGGTTTTTACTATCTCTGAAGGAACAAGCACTTTGAAAAGGCATTTTCAAAGATGCAAAAACTATCCGTACAGTCTTTATAATCTGAAGAAGTCTAGAACTCCTAGCGCTCAAGGTACTAGTACTGCAGCTTATGGAACCTCGTTGGACGCCACGTTGTTCACGGATTGTGGTCCACGTTCACGGTCTTAGGAGACCATGAACTGCCTTGTCCGGCCGTGAACTGCAGATGTTTCCTAGACGCCTTCACTTCATTGTTACGAGGCAATTGTCACGATCTTCGGACTTTCCTTCGGTTTTTGCACTTTTTGACCTCCAATTATCCCAAAACTCGTCCTCGACCCTTCCACACGTGCTAGTACCTGAAATGTATCAAAACAAGCACAACCTAGCGTGAAATATGTCGAGGAACGATGAAATACTAAGCTAAACGAATAAGAAATGAGGGGTAAAATGTGTACATTTGAGCCCGAATTAGTAGACTAACAACTCTAACATGTAAAATTGAGGGTTTTCCTTGAAGTACCTTGGCCTTTCCGTAGGAGTGAAGGCCAAACTTGCATGATATTTAGGAACCTGTCATTGCTTGTATTAAGCTAACTATCCTCTTGGAAAGCAAAGTTACTCTCCCTTGGGGTAGGATGTCTTTTTTCTTAACCCACTGTTCATGAAAAAAAAAGAGGACAAAAAACTGAGGAAAATTATGGGGATCAAGAATTTTTTTCCTGTTTTGGATTTATGTTATGGAGAAAATCTTAAGTGCTCCCGGCGTATTGCCTACGTGGTGCACCCCACCAATACAAAATTGCCACCTGTATTTTTCCTTTAAATGTTTATTTCCAACCAATTGTAGCGACAGAAGCAGAGGCAACTCCTCTCCACCGCGTCGCCACCATCCCTGCCACTTCAATTCTCTCCCGCCCTTCAACCGGCCAAGCTCTCCTTCTCCAAACCTTAAGCTGAACCCGACCCAACTCCTTGCCCCATCCCAAATTTCTGACGCCGCCGAGGAGAAACTCACGAGTTCCTTACGTCACTGTCGCTGCAGCTTTCGACCCATCCTCCTTCATTTTCTGAGCTGGAGAAGAGGCTCGATGGTTAGATTCAGAGCCGATGAGAAACGTAATAAATCTCGATATCACCATCGCCGCCAGTGGAAGGTCCGCAAGGCACGACGAACGACGGGCAGTGGAGGCGGTCGGAGGCGCCGCAAGGAACAACTACCCTCCATGGATGGAAGGGCAGATCGTGGTCGAGACAGAGGATGGTGAACAAGCCGGTGTCGATTACCTGAAAATTCCTTGTCGGGGATAGGAATCGACGCCGGGATCGATTGTTATCTCCACCGGAAATAGTGATTTCTTTCCATAAAAAGTATTAATATAAACTAATTAAAATGTGTAAATTGATGATTGGTGCGGTGCACCACGTAGGCAATACACCGGGAGCACCTATGATTTTCTCTTATGTTACAATAGAAAGAGGGCGATCATTAGACGAAAAATTTATTGTAGCAAGTGTCAGTACCCTTACACTTAATATATTTTTCCCCTTCAAATATATGCATAATTTTTCACTCATTATGTTGGTTGATACTAGAGTTGGTATCATTTTGAATAAGTATGATGGTCGATACTAGAGGTGGTAAATGAATTGAATCATGGAATGGTGGATTGGATTGGTAGATTTATGGATCAAATGAATTGGTAGATTCATGAATTGGATCATGAATCTAAGTGACCTCTAACATTGGACCAATATATAAATTTTGAAAAGTTTAGGTACTAAAATATCATGATAAAAATATTAGGTACCAAAATGTAATTTTTTATTGATAATTTTATTATAAAAATACATTTTAGACCAAGTGTAATTATAAAAATATAGGTATTGTAATGTAATTTGCCAAAGATCAATAAATCTAGTCTATGAATCCACATATTCAATTGAATTTAGATCAAATGAATTATATTTGAATAAATTGAATTAGTTGGATATTTAAGTGGGTGGATTAAATTAAATTGGTAGATTGGATACAAAATTGCCATATATATCCAGTTGATACTATTTGTTGGTAACTTCAATTCACATAATATATCAATTTTGAAAAAAATATCCCATGTTGGCTCGAATAAGGCTATATGTCCCGGCATTAATGGAAAAAAAGACATGTATAAAGTGAACAAGAGTTTAGATTAGCTTGTTTTCTATTTGAAAGTCATATGTGTTCGAATCTCCTATATATCACATTCACACAACAATTTTGTATTGGACTATGGCTTGTTCACACCAAACATGAATCAAGCACCAGTAGTAACAACAAAGATGGAATCTTTTAGGGAAAAAAAATCTACCCTTTTAACCCATTTATCAATTTGTTAAAGGGTTAATTGCATGGTTGGTCACTGAGATTACAAAAAATGTTCATGTTTGGTCACTCGAAATATTTAAATTCATTTGTGGTCACTAAAATTAGTAAAACAGTCCAAGTTTAGTCACTCTTCGTTAGTCTCCATTAACACCGTCAATTATTTGCTGATGTGGCTAGCAAATATGCTGATTCACCCCATTTTAACCTGCCACGTCATAAAACCCGACCTGCCATGTCATTAAACCCGCCATGTCAGATTATTATTAATCATTTAAAATAAAATATAAAAATATAAAAACCAACACGGATTCCCATCTTTCTGTCTTCTTCTCTCAACCCCTCTCTGATGGAGAGCAAAAAAAATCCCCTCTTTGGTGCAAAAGCTTCTTCTGGATCTTCTCTGTTTTCTTCCCCGTCTCTTCATAATTCCATTCCATTTTTTGACGCAGCTGCCTAGGATCCCTAACCACAACTGCCTAAATTATCTCTTTCTTTCTCCTTAGAGACCGAAACAGAAAGAAGAACCAAAACCTTCCAAGCTTCCCCCTTCCTTCATCTCTCTACCCCCTGCTAAAGCTTCCTCTTCCATTCTTCCTGGCTCCTTCATCCAACCCTCTGCTAAAGCCTCTCACCTGCCTCTTCTTCTACTCTTTGTTGGAAGGGATCTTCTTAATCCCTCTGCCTCTTTGTGGGATTGGATTATCGAAAATCTGGGCCTGGTGGGCAGCAGGGGATTCGCTAGATCTAGATCGGCGACTGAGGTGGAGAGTAGCAAAAGCGGCTTAATCCAAGAAATGGAAAGAACTTGGAATCCCTCTTTCTCATCATCGATATCGTCAAAGTCAGACGGTGATGGGGAACCATGGAGGAAGCAGCGAGGGAGAATTCAGAAGTCATGGCGACAAAAGCTTGGGCAGGGGAACCATGGAGGTGCAGCGGGGAGTCGAATTGACGAGATAAGGGGAGGAGAAGGAACAGAGCGACGAATGAGGAGGAGCAGGCGAGAGAGATAAAAGTTAGGGGGGTGTGATTGTTGCGGCGACCAATTCAAGCACCATTTAGACCTGGTTTTCGAAGAGAATGCAAGAAACATGAAGAACTAGAGAAGATGGTTTTCAGGTCTAGAAAGGAAAAAAAGGATAAACCCTTATTTTGCTTGAGTGGACAGTTCATGGGTAGGTGGGTCGGTTTGATTCAAGGGTTGGGTTGGGATGGACAAAATGATATGGCAGGTTATAGTGACATGGCAGGCCGGATTTCATTGTTTTTGGGTTAAATTAGACTGACTAGACGATTCTGTCTGCCACCTCAGCACATAACAGTCTTGGTTAACGGAGACTAACGGAGAGTGACCAAACTTGAACGGTTTTACTAATTTTAGTGACCACAAATGAATTTAAATATTTCGAGTGACCAAACATGAACGTTTTTTGTAATCTCAGTGACCAACCATGCAATTAACCCATTTGTTAACCCATTTATTAAGCATTAGCATCCACATTGGTATTGCATTCTCAATTGCAAAATGACATGGCATAGGTGTTTGCAATTGCAAAACCAATTGCATTGATGTGACTTCCAATTGCATATTTGCAAGCTTGCAACAAATACAATTCGATATGCAAGTCAAAAAAGCCTAAAAAAATGGGGATTTTGTATTTTATATTATTTTCTTTTCTCTTTTACTTAATTTTCTGTAATTTAAACATAATATTTAATTATATATGCAATTGCAAATTAATTGCATTGATGTAGGTGAATGAAATGAATGTGATGTGGATTGCAAGAAATTTGGATTGACAATAAAAAACATAAATACAATTTCTTTTACGATTGCATTGATGGAGATGCTCTTATAGTACAAAAGCCAACCACATGCACGATGCACAATACCGGCGTAAGTCAAAAGTATCGACCAATGAGATTGCGACGTACTTAGTCCATCGCTCCAGGCTCACTCAGTCAACAGAAAAGAAAATTGGTCTGACGAAAGCACACCGTTAAAAAAGCTTGACTACCTCGCCGTCAGCTAGTAGAAAAAAACCGAAACGGGGGAAAGGAAAGGAAAGGAAATGGCGTTCTCGGAGAAGAGAGAAAACAACGGCGCCGCCGAAGACAGCAATCACTCTCGCCTAATCAAGCTCCGGGAATTCGACGACACCAAATTAGGCGTCAAGGGGCTCGTGGACGCCGCAGTCGCCAAGGTGCCGGAAATATTCAGGATCAGCAACAACAACAAACACCAACTACCTTCCGACCTCGACCACAGCTCCTCCGGCTCGGTGCTCACCATTCCGGTCATATATCTCAAGCACCCAAATACTACGGCGGCAGCGGCGGCGGTGCGCAGAGAGATTGTCGGCGGGATCCGCGGCTCATGCGAGGAGTGGGGGTTCTTCCAGGTGGTCAATCACGGGATCCCGGAGGGGATTCTGGATGAGATGATCCAAGGGGTCCGGAGATTCCACGAGCTGGACCCGGAAATCAAGAAGCGGTACTATACCCGAGACCTGATCTCCGGGTTTTTTTTGGTTTCCAACTTCGATCTGTATCGGTCCGCCGCCGCCAGCTGGCGCGACACGATGGGTTGCGTCGCCGCTCCGGATCTTCCCCCGCCGGAGCAGCTCCCCGACGCAACCAGGTACGTACCCTTTGTGATGATCTGAGTTAGGTGTGCCTTTTAATTCGCCGATAAGGTTGACTATGCAAATTTATTTCGCAAGATATTGTGTCCCGCTTTGTTCTTATCTCCCTCCCTATCTTAATTGCCATTTCAGCAGACTTGTCTGCTCTGCTCTGCTCGTGTGCCATGAGAAAAACAAGTTAAGCCATGGCTACCGATATTTGAGATATTTATTACTATTTGGTGGTTATCGAATTATATTATTTTTAGAAATTGAATTTTTTTTTTTTTTTGCGATATCGATATTAGAGATTATTATGAGATTGAGATCGGTATATACAAAAATATCTAGCAATATAAAAGGTTTACAATTAATTAAATGCAAGTCATTTCGTTTTGTTTGACAATTCGTAAGCCCCCATCCATTCTAAGTTTAGCTTTCACGTTGTCTCAAGTCACTCTCGTCTCTCGCTCAATCTCTTGTTATTTTCAGAACATAAAAAAATCGAACACCCTCATTAATCGTTTCTCACCCTCCAGTCCATCGAATCAAAGACTACTAATAACTAAAATTGAGAGATCACTATCTCGTCTCTTCTACTTTGTCCATGCCTTATTTTGAGACAAACTCAAAGGCTTTAATTGGTCTCGTAGCCCAAATGGAAACACGTCATGAATCTATTTAATTATTAGAAACCTTGATTTAATCCATTCAGTGGAAATTTTGATGAGTTTTTATTAGAATTTTCTCACCTTAACTTTCCATCACCAACATTTTCAATCATGAAATAAAACCTGCAAGTCTACAACGTAACATATAAACATGTTCATCATTAGAAGTGTTTCAATTGTTATTTGTGTATGTACTTAATTATTAATTGTGAAAGATAATTAATTTAGTATTTACAAACCTCGATATCGTTTAGAAATATTTTAAAACTGGGATACTCAATTTATGTTGGCTTGAAATTGACATTAATTTTAAATCAATGTTTGGTATTCCGAATTCCGATATTTGGTATTCGAATACAGATACCGTACCGATTTCTCCCGTACTGATGCAACGATTTCATCATCTTTTAACATCACAGGGACATATTGATCGAATACAGTAAACAAGTGAAGCGACTGAGCAAGACAATCTTGGAGCTCCTGTCAGAGGCCCTGGGTCTGGAACCCAACCGGCTGAACCAACTGGGTTGTGGGGCGGGACAGCTGCTCCTTGGCCACTACTACCCAGCATGTCCTGAACCGGAGGTGACCATCGGGGTGACGGACCACACCGATGCCAGCTTCATCACCATCCTTCTCCAGGACCAAATCGGAGGCCTCCAAGTTCTTCATCGCAACAAGTGGGTCGATGTCCAGCCGAGGAAGGGCGCTCTAGTCGTCAATCTCGGTGACCTTCTCCAGGTTAGCCCTTCTTTTTTTCTCTATCCATCATTCGTTTCGAACCCGATTCGTCGAAAGAACACTTGTGATTCGCTGAGGAGTTAGAAGTGACATAAAGCATACTTATCTACTTACAATAGTACGCAAATTTGACGTACGTTTGCTTCATGGATTTGGAGGATGGATTTGGGCATTTGGCACCCAAATCCAATCCATTCAAGGATTTAAGAAAAATCCATTGTTTGCTTGTACTTTTTTTAGAGACCAAGTCCGTGAGGTCCAAAGATTTTAAGGGTCCAAATTCGTGGACCCCACAGATTTGTAAATCTCTCACGTTGATGTGGAATTTGGAACATGACATAAATCCTTGATGAAATTTTACCCATATACCCTCATGAACATTTAATATTCCCAGGTTGTCCTCAAATTTAACTATTATACATTATAATTAATCAATTAATTAACAACAAATGAATAATATAAATATTCAATTAATGTGTTAGATTTTTTATATCATTTCTTATGTTCTAGTTTTCTTTGACCTTTTCATGGAACGTGTAATTCTTTGTTCTCCCGATTCTAATATATGTTGTTATATGTTACTTTTGAAAAGGAGGACAAAGAATTGGTAATTTATTATGTTACGTTAAAAGTTAAACGAAATTTTCCCGTGTATTATTATTGTCCATGTGGCAACGTTATGCTTATTAGTATGTATTGTCCTTATTTTGTGTACATATCATAAACATGTCAAACATATACAAAATGATAGTAAGATAATTTTGAAGTATTGTCCTTGTTTGTGTACATATCATAAACATGTCAAACATATAGAAAATGATAGTAAGGGAATTGTGGACTTCAAGTACTAAATCCCATACCCTTAAATCCATGATAAAAACATCTCAACAAACAAAGGATTGTTACAAATCCATAATGCCTCAAATCCTTGATAAATCCTTGGGTTTTTAAATTACAAAACTCTCATTTTCAAATCCATGAAGCAATGCCCCAATTGTCACGACAATCGATATTGGTGTTTTGAGAATAAGCTTTAACGACCAATGACTAACAATGGTTTCTGGTTAAATTGTGATTGTGCAGCTCGTATCGAATGACAAGTTTATTAGCGTGAGCCACAGGGTCGTACCCAAGCGAATCGGTCCGAGGATTTCAGTGGCGTGTTTCTTGAGGCCGCTCATCCACAAAGGGGATACGGACAGCCCTCCGGTGTACGGACCCATACCGGAACTGTTGTCGGAAGAAAATCCTCCGGTGTATGTAGAAGCAGACGTGAGGGAGTTCATGAGAATTCATTCGTCCAGAGGACTGGATGAACCGTCGCCGCTCCAACACTTCAGAGTGTAACGAAGCCAACAATAGCCGGGTCTTGGTCGGAACTTCCCAATTCCAACAGCTAGGCGTCGGACTTACCTAGTGTTAAGACTTAAGATCAGGGGCGGAGCTACAGCTGGTCTCGGGGGGGCCTCGGCCCCCCCGAGAATCGTGAAAGTTACGTCTAAACTGCATCGATATTTTGAAAATTTCGTAAAAACTAACGAAGACGTAATATGTTTAGTGTGCAAATTTGTTAAAACATAATAGTCTTAATCAAGTGGGGAGGGAGTGAGTTATGGTGCAGTTGGTTGAGGGTTCGATACTCAACCTCTCCAATTCTATTAATTTTTATTTGCTTTTTGTTTTAATATATCTACATAATGACTCTTTCAAGTTTCATGTTATTGTTTCTTCATTTCATTATTTCAATATTATTTCTTGACTCATTTAATTTCAAGTTTAGTTTTTTTTTACCACTTTGCAATTTTATATCACTGAAAAATTATTCATTTTGACCTTTCATAAGTTATTCTACATCAATATTTTGACTCTAATTATCTAAAATGATTAATCATAATACTAATAAAAGTAAAATTTACTTTGATTGTCTTGCTTAGTTTTTAATTTTTTATCACCCTTCTGCGGTAATAGTATTAAATAATTTTCGGCCCCCCCGAACGTCAAATCCTAGCTCCGCCCCTGCTTAAGATATCCAAGTGTAAAAGAAACCCCTTTCTTTGACGGTCGGTTAAATAAGTAAACATCCCGCTTGTTATGCGTAACATATCCATTGAATGGCCCAATGTGTTTTTTTTATGCGACGGCCGAGTGTTTTCAAACGTGGGTCTTGGTGTTCTTGGCCAATTCAATCGAACTCTCTGTGTTATCTCACCAAGGGTTTGGTGCGGCCGGGGCCCGGGAGTCGGAAGAAATTACAAGTGTCATTTTTTCTTAGAATATAAATACATAAATAAGATGATGATTGATGAAGTTTAACTCAGAATTACATTCTAAAATAAGAGGTAATGAAAAATAACTAACAAAGATTTCTAACATAAAATATGAATACAAATTCTAAAAATAAAAAGTATTTAATATAGATCACATTAGATTTATTTCATATTAAATAATACTATTTTTATTTTATTTTATATAATGATATGAATGAAAGAAAATTATGCTTAGAAAATGAATAATATATGGTAAAGACAATTTTGTATTTCCAAATTGGAGTTTCTGCTTTGAAGTTACGAAATACTTCAGTTTTTTAAAAAGCAAAATTTTAAATGTGTTTGGCTTGACTTCAACTTTTTAACATAAAACATAAAATTCGGGCCAAACATAGTCGTACTCTTTTGAATTTTTTGGGTTTGAGGTAATCGGGGTTCTTCTTTATGAAATTTTTGGACTAATTGCAGGTTTGAGGAGGTTCAACTCGCATTGATCGGGTCAAATTAGGTTGGATACCCATGGATGTGGGTTCAATTGTCTTTCTCAAACAAACGCAAAAAGCGAAATGAAAAACACTAAATCTAAAACTTGTTACCGACTCAACACTCGTCAACACCAAGTTCAACTCGCTTTGACCTGGTTGGATTGATTTTTGGACAAATTCACACCTGGCACAACACGCCAATTACAAAAACAGATAAAACTTGCTCCCGTCGAAACCTGTAAAATTGGATTCAAGTCACTTTGGTCGGGTCGAATTAGGTTGTATACCTGTGCGTTTGGACTCAATTGTCATTCTCAACCAAAAGGAAAAGGATAAAAAAAATACTAAAGCAGATAAAATTCACTCATGACCCCAAACGCTCAACACTGCGTTCAACTCGCTTTGACCGGGTCGACCAAGTTTTAACAAATTCATAATTTACCCAACCTATTAATTACAAAAGCAGATAAAACTCGCTCTCGATATGAAACGCGTCAACAATGGGTCAGATTTTAATTGTCATTCTCAACGAAAAGGAAAATAAAAAATAAAAAACATTAAAGCGTACAAAACTCTCTTTCGATCTAAAACTGGTCAATAATGTGTTCAACTTGCTTTGAACAAATTTTTAACAAATTAACACTTGATCCAACCTGCCAACTAGAAAAGCGGATAAAGCTCGCTCACAATATAGCACTTATCAAAACCTTAAATTCGGGTTCAATTATCTTCCCAACCAAAAGAAGAAGAAAAAAAAGAAATTTATAAATGCGAAAGTCTGTTTCAGGTCACTTTGACCGAATAGAATTAGGTTGGATACCCTTGGATTTGGGTTCAATCGTGATCATGCTCAACAAAAAGGAAAAAGTGAAAGAAAAAAACACTGAAGCGGATGAAACTCGGTCCCGACACAAAACTCGTGATGGTGGGGAAAACTTAGGATTCTGCCGATAATATTTCGAGATGGGCTGCAAAATGGTGGGCAAAGGCGATGATTTGTATTCAAGTTAGGATACCCATGTGGTTGGGTTCAATTGTGATCATGCTCAACAAAGAGGGAAAAAAAGAAAAAACACTAAAGAGGATGAAACTCGGTCCAGATACAAAACTAGTGGTAGCGGTCTTGGAAAATGGTGGTGGGAAATAACTTAGTATTTCGCCGACAGTATTTCGAGATGATCTCCAAAATTATTGGCAAAGGCGATGATTTATGTTCAAGGTAGGAATACCCATGTGTTTTGATTACTCAACAAAAATGAAGAAAAGAAAGAAAAACACTAAAAAGGATGAAACTCGGTACCGATAAAAATCTCGTGGTGGCAGCCTTGGAAAACGGTGGTAAGGAACAATTTAGGATCTCGCCGACAGTATTTCGAGATGGGATGCAAAATGGTGGGCAAATGCGATGATTTGTGCAAAAAACCATAGACGAAAACCTGACGAACAATAACTAAACGCTAAGGCGATGATTCACTACAAGAAAATTCACTATTTGCGACGAAGAATATTCGTCGCAGAAAGCCATAAATTCGTCGCAAAATATTTCCGCGACGAATTTGACCGTCACAGAAGAGCAAAACGCATCGTCGCCTATACAGCGTCGCAAAAAGTTATTCGACGAAAATATCTGGTTCGTTGCAAAAAAAAAATCACGTTCATCGCAGAAGGTCACTGATTGGCGACGAACATGTCGTCGCAGAAAGATCCATTGGCGACGATGCTTTAGCGACGAATTGATTCGTCGTAGAAAGCGAAAAGCTTTAGCGACGAAGACTTTTTTGTTACCCACAATTAATATTTCATTTTCTCGTTTTTTTTTAAAGGTTCGTTTTAATATAGGTCCCAATTTTTTTCTGGTTCATTCATAATTTCTTTCCTGGTCCAAATCAAGCCCAATATTTCAGATCCTCTAAACCACACTATCTATTCTTAGATTAAATTATAGGTGTCAATCGGGCGGGTTCGGGCGGGTTCGGGTTGGGTTCAATCGGGTTCGGGTTCAAACGGGTTGCGGGTTAGTCGGGTTGCGGGTTCATTGGGTTCGGGTTCATCGGGTTCGGGTTCAAACGGGTTGTGGGTTAGTCGGGTTGCGGGTTCATCGGGTTCGGGTTCAATCGGGTTGCGGGCAAATCGGGTTGCAGGTTCATCGGGTTTTGGGTCGGGCGGGTTGCGGGCGGATCGGGTTTCGGGTTGTTCGGGCCAGCGCATCAAGTAACTTAACTCATTACTCATTACCAACTTACACATTTTATTACACTAATTTAAAATATTTTCTCAACTTTTTAACCAATTTATTTCTACCTCGTATATATATACTTTATTTTTTTGAAAAAAACTAGTCAAAATGTTAAATCAATTTGTATTACTTGCAAACTTGTGATGTAATTAATCATAATTGGTAAAGTATTATAGCTCATAGTAATGGTGATATCAATATTTGCAACCAAAAAACAACATTAATTGTTTATTTGATATTTTAGTATTAATTCAGTAGTAATTGATTAAAGTATCTCGTTTAGTATAACCATGCAAATCTGGTATTTGGTGTGTGGTATTTGGCAAAAGCATAGTGATAAAAGGAGTTATTTCGAAATAACTCATTGCCCAAATAACTTTAGTAAACTGTTGCCAAACGAGTTATTTGTAAAATTGTTCGAATTATCCTAAAAATTGAACCATTAAAGATTAGCTATCAAATTTAGTAAAATTATTGTTACTTCAATCATAACTTACTCATTAGCATATATCCTATACACCTTGCCTTACCCTCAATCAACAATATTAAGTTAGTATATGTTGTTGATTGTATACCCTAAACCATCAATACATTATACACTAACCACATAACCTATACCCTAACCATATGTCTTTGAGTTATGATTTTGCTAGTATAGTTAATTTAAAAGTGAAATTCATACTTTGATTTTCAAAACATAGATAAAAAGTGATATTTGCTAATTATTATACCCTAACCATATATCTTATACTTTACACCACATACCTTGTACCCTAAGCACGTACCATAAACATAAATTAAAAAGGGATCTCCTGCCGTTAAAGACTTCAAATGACTTCAAGTGAACATATGTTAATAAAAAACTTAGAACCGTCAAAACCATCAATATCTTATACCCTAACCATATACACCCTAAACCATATGTACCTTATACCTTATACCCTAACTATATACTTTATATCCTAAACAACGAACCGTCAAAGATTACTTATCAAGTTTAGTATAACTTGTTGTAACTAATGGTTAATTTATTTATTAGCCCATAAACAATTACATACATATATATATATTAGCCTTCAAAACATATAAGAATAATTTTAACTAGTCATGCCCTCCATATAAAAGTTAAAGATTCATATTTCAAAAGCTAAAATTATGAAAAACCAAAAAATTGAAAACATCAAATTTGTTTCCTTCTTTCTTTTCACAAAAATACTAAAATTTCCCTCCTTCTTTCTACTTCCATACATTAGAAAACTCAATTTTCCCTCCTCTTTCTCTTCCATAAAATTGAAAGAACCAACTTACTCTCTTCTTTTCTTCTACAAAAAGTTGAAAACTCAAAAGTTTCCCTCCTTATTTCTCTTTCATAATCAAAAGAATCAAATTTTCCCACTTCTTTCTCTTCCCACATATCAAAACCACCAAAATTCCCACGTGTTTCTTTTCTAAAAAATTCAAATAACCAAATTTCCCTCTTCTTTCTCTTCCCAAAAACTTGAATACACCAAAATTTCCCTCTTCATTTAAAAACATCAAATTACCAAATACATTACTTTACTTTATTTATATTTAATTGATAATTTTATTGAATAGTTAAATTAATCAAAATTTTAATTTATATATTATATTAATATTGTCATGATCTCAAGTGACCTTCATGTTTCAATTTTTGTAATTTTCTTAAAATACGTAATATCAAGTGAGTTTCATATTTTTTAAATTTTCTATACGAAATGAAAAAATAATTTTACTTAAGTTTAGAATGAA